ATACTTTCGCCAGGACGCTGGTGTCTTCGTCCCCTCCGCCTGGGGCCGGAACCACGAAGAACAGCGCTTTCAGGATATTACAATGAAAAATGCCCCCACCCCCGAACCAACTTGGGAGCATTTGTATTGCAGACCTTTCCAAGTGAAACATTCGCCCTCTTGCATCTATCAGCATCACAGAATTCCAATCTTAAATAGCAAAAATCTGTACTGCAAAAGATCCCAGCAAGAGCGGCCCTTGTCATGCAAGCTGTGCAGTTGCAAGCGATGCGACACACGTCTGACTCTGCATCAGAAAGATTCGTACTCCTTTCATGCATGCGCATGCATGACAAAAAGTTTTCATTTGGAAACTTCACATCACAAATTTTTGCAACCTTGGGAGTGGGGGCATTTTTCACGGTAATACAGGACCAGGGCGCTGGCGAAGGCGTTGAACAGCCCGCCCATCTGGTCCTATGCATTGCAAATAGGTCTGGGGCTGGAAGGATGCAAGTTGTCATGCTAAATCCGCATCACGCAAGAATCTGTGTTGCATGAGTGCCGAAGGCTCTTCTACTTTTGGCCAAGGTGACAGGGAGTTTCCCATGTAAAATAGGCATGACAGAGACCTCACAGTAGACTCTGTCATGCTAGGTCCCGCATAATTCCAGACCTCAGGGGTCAACATGGAAAGGCTGCATGACAAGTCTACACTCTTCCAGACATCCAGGGATATTTGCATTTGATAGGTCCCCAGCGCCGCCAAATCCGTTGCGATGCCGCCTATGTTTTTTCCGTTCGACGTCCTTGTTCCGCTTGTCCACCTCTGAAGAAGCAGCATCATCGTTCTCCTTGGTATCCTCTTTGTCTTTTAGTACAGTGGCAGTGTCCTACCATCTGCCATTTTATCAACACCGCAGTTCTTCGGACGTAGTGTACGACACACGAGGACAACGAACAGCCAGATATCGCGCAAGCTAAGAGTAAGAAGAAGAACAACATCAGAACATAACGATGAACACGACGCATTCATCTCCACGCTCAGCATACTTGTTCAGCAGGCGCCTGTGATGAAGTAGGTGTCAACAAGCCATTTTCAACAGTAGCGACTCGTCCTACCTCGTAGGTTTTCTCACGACCACGACGTGGAGCAGCTTATTGCTGAAACTAAAAGAGATTCTGACGCTCGGTTGTTTGCCTGCAGCTCACTATCACTATCTGCTCAGCATCTTTATCTTTTTCAATTTTCTCATCAACATCATAGAAAAAACCCGCTGAAGTAGTTTCGCACCAGATTGGTCGGTGCAATGTGTGGTTCACCGAGTCGCAAATGGAAGAGCTGACAAGCTTCCAAATCCTCCGCGTTTCCACCGTCTTCTTTCACCGCGTTTGTTCCTCCTGTACCCGGCACATTGGCATCGGCGCCGCCTCCTTTCACAGGAGCTGCTGGCTCTACGCTGTCCCGGCCAAACCAGTACTGGCACCTCCCGAGAAATTCGTCGTTATTCCGGCCCGCCATTCGCAAGGGCTTGCTGTTATGCAATACAAATTTCCCGTACGCATCGAGGTCGACGTTGACAAAAATGCATGACAAACTTCCCACCTTAGGGCTGTGTGCCACCACTTGCCATGCTGAATAGGATTGTCATCACGCAGAAACAGCATTTCTTTCTCCGAAGGCGTACGGGAAATTTAAGTAATGTGGATAGCCGTTGCTCGGAATCTTGAAGACCCGAAAGTACTTGTAATGGCCCGCTTTGGTACTTTTTCCGAAAATATCGAAGGAGGGTATGAGATACAAAATTTTGTTGAATCAAGAAGGTCAAGCATTACAACCGAAGCAGGTAAGGCTACACTACGCGAGTGTAGTGGGTGCAGGCACATCACATAAGATGAATAACGCGGCGTCGTAGGTGTTTCTATTTCTTGTAGAACTTCTATTAGGTTGTAGCGCCACATCAAACTAGAAACTACATTCACATTCTGAAACCAGTACTATCCACCTCTTTTCCTTTCGACGTCCTTGTTCCGCTTGTCCACCTCTGAAGAAGCAACAACGACGCGCTTAAAAATGTAGGCACTTAGGGGTGTTTTGTTGTAGGCACTTAGCATGACGGAGGCTCTCCATGTAAGTGAAACAGCATTACAAATCGCATCCATAAGGCGGCGAATTCTTTGGACTTGCCTTCTTGCAAGAGAGACAGGATTTGTGCTCACAAATCAGCATCACAAATTTTTAGGAACATACGTTTTCACTATTGGGAGGAGGGATTTTTCCTCACGGTAACTTTCTCGACGACCTTAGGAACTGGATTTGTTGTAGTGGCCCCAGAAATATGGATTGCAAATATAGCTGGGTCTGGAAACTTGTGATGCTAAAATGTGCATGATGGAAACACTTCCGAATGCAGACCAGCATGACAACTTTCATCCGGAGCACTTTCTCATAGGCAGCCCACACGAGAAACTGCGTTTTTGCATGACAAAAATGGGTGCGGCTTTATTTGTCGGTTATGCAATACAGATTTCATCCCAGGAATGTAAAGCTAGCATTACAAGTTCCAACTTTCCAGACCCAGACATATTTGCAGTGCATACGAAAGTGGTTGTAGACTCCTCCTTCGCGTGGAGGTCGATACTTGTTGCTTCGATTTCAGCTGCTGCGCGACCTCTCGGAGCTTCTCGGTGCTCGGTATCGTGAGAAAAAACTGTTTCACTGTGAACTTGTGATGCAGAAAATGGAACACAGAACTCTCTGGCTTGCTACACCAGCAAGGCATTGGATTTGCAAGCGTGTTTTCCCTTGGGAAGCGCGCATCACAAATTTTCAGTCATGTGTAGCAAACTTGTGATGCAGATCTTGCAAAGTCATCACAGTGAAACACTTTTTTCGTACGATACTCGGAAGCAAGAAGCCAATATTATTCTTGCCGTTTTCGTTCTATCAAATGTAAAAATGTCTGGGTTTGGAAGAATGCAACTTGTAATGCGTATTTCAGAACACAGAAAAGTCTCTCATGCATACGTAGCAAAAGCTCCCACTTTTTGCCACCAAAATAGGGGACTTGTCATGCGGATTCGGCATTGCGGAAGGTTCTCAAAACCTGTGATGCTAGAGCTTCCATGCCAGACCTTCTGTGTCATGCAAAAACAGCATGACTCTTCCAGACCCAGACATTTTTACATTTGATACGTTCGTGGGTGAAACCATGTGCTGGTGGTCTTGGAGCGCTTTCTATCGAATGCAAAAATGTCTGGGGCTGGAAGTTTGCCAGGTTTGTCATGCATATTTTGAATGACCCATGATGTCTGTGATGCATGCCGTAGCATCACAGATTGTTAGAGGACTTTGTGATGCCTCTAGCACATGAGAAATAATGCTCTCTCCACGTAGCACACACTGGAGTCCTTATTTTGCTGGTCATGCAATACAAATTTTTCTAGAATCCAGAGACAGCATTACAAGTTTAGAATCTTCCAGACCCAGACATTTTTACATTTGATACTTTCGCCAGGACGCTGGTGTCTTCGTCCCCTCCGCCTGGGGCCGGAACCACGAAGAACAGCGCTTTCAGGATATTACAATGAAAAATGCCCCCACCCCCGAACCAACTTGGGAGCATTTGTATTGCAGACCTTTCCAAGTGAAACATTCGCCCTCTTGCATCTATCAGCATCACAGAATTCCAATCTTAAATAGCAAAAATCTGTACTGCAAAAGATCCCAGCAAGAGCGGCCCTTGTCATGCAAGCTGTGCAGTTGCAAGCGATGCGACACACGTCTGACTCTGCATCAGAAAGATTCGTACTCCTTTCATGCATGCGCATGCATGACAAAAAGTTTTCATTTGGAAACTTCACATCACAAATTTTTGCAACCTTGGGAGTGGGGGCATTTTTCACGGTAATACAGGACCAGGGCGCTGGCGAAGGCGTTGAACAGCCCGCCCATCTGGTCCTATGCATTGCAAATAGGTCTGGGGCTGGAAGGATGCAAGTTGTCATGCTAAATCCGCATCACGCAAGAATCTGTGTTGCATGAGTGCCGAAGGCTCTTCTACTTTTGGCCAAGGTGACAGGGAGTTTCCCATGTAAAATAGGCATGACAGAGACCTCACAGTAGACTCTGTCATGCTAGGTCCCGCATAATTCCAGACCTCAGGGGTCAACATGGAAAGGCTGCATGACAAGTCTACACTCTTCCAGACATCCAGGGATATTTGCATTTGATAGGTCCCCAGCGCCGCCAAATCCGTTGCGATGCCG